ACTATCACAGGATAGAACATTGACTTTAAATTCAGTTTGATTGGGAAATTTTCTTAGTAATGAACATAGTTCTAGCTCAGTTTTTTCAATGGCTGTCTATAATTCCATTGTATGAATGGGCCAAAATTTACTTTGTCTTTGCTGTTGTGTAATTCGCTTTTATTTTCTGTGACTATAAATAATGCTGCCTCAAATACCCACATAAACTTTTATCAAGGATATGCATTAAATAAATCTCCAAGATATTGAATTGATGGGTCAAAGCTAGGAGGCTTTGAAATGTAGATAATTTAACAATTCATGGTATGATAGATTGGACCAGGTTTACAGCCCTGTTTACAATACCTCCCTCAACACTGCCCCACAGTGACTCCTTCCTCACACTTTACCCAAAGCATACTTAGGAGCCAGGGCTAGCGTGGTTTGCCTAGAAAAACTTAAATGATTGGAAATGAAAACAGTATTATTTTTTTTTATCATATATCCACAAGGGAAGTTAGACTGCCTCGAGGATTTGAAAGCTGAATTAAACAGCTTGTCACTGAGATCAGTCTAAGTAGTGTATTCGAACTTGAGATAGCTAGACTTAGTGGAATATGGCAATTTGTTTACCTGGAACCACCCAGAAAGACCCTAATTGTTTTTGGTTTGTCTCAGGCAAAGTGTTCCTGGTGTAAGTTCTGAATTTTTCCCTCAGAGGAAGCTGTGAACTCAGCTGCTCACTGTCACAAATTATGGAGTGGCATCTCCCACTGTTGGGGACATTGCAGGGGTCAATGCATTCATAGAACAGCTGATAAGCCCTGCCCTGGAAAAACTACCTTCCTGATGATGTCATCTCCCCTGGCAGCTTAGTATCTGTTCTGATTCATTTTTTATCTGTGGTTGTTTATTTTTTTTAGTTAGGCATTATGTGTTCTCACAACTGGGCAGTGCTGATTGTATCTTTCTGCAATGGAAGACGGGTTCTGGATGGTCACACAGTCCCAATGCTGTTCTTTCTCCACGGTGCTTTCTTGACTTCGACTTTTATTGCTATTTTTGTTTGTATTTGTATATTTTATTTAATAATTGGGAAAAAGGCAGTAATTCTCATCCTGACTCTTTCTGCTCAGAATTTTCATTAAAATCAGAAACCAGTGAAGTATAAAGTGATTTCCTCTTAAATCAAATTGAGTTTCAGAGTTGCTTTTGTCCCTGAATATTGTGATATTGTGAAAGTTTCATTTGGATTTTTTCTGCTTGGAGAAGGCTCTTTCATGGAGGGCATTTGCAATGCAGTCCCTGGGAGGGCTCGCCTCCGAGAGCAGCTTTTGTTCCTCCCTAATTTTGGTTGACTCTTTCAGTAGCCCTTATCTAGACAGGCGTTTCCACTTGGTGGACATCTATCTCCTCTTTTATCTGGCTTTCATTAGACCTGGCTGACCTGAATTGGCTCTGTTCTCTGTCTTCTATTCACACTGACTCCCACGACTCTGCCTGTCAGTTTGTACTGGCAGTAGACATTCATTTTGTTCTTGGCTGAGTTCCCCATGTGGAGTTGTGGTTGAGTGCCCAAATCTTCTGATGACAATGCCGACTCCACCTCAATCTATTCAGCTACCCTTCAGTTACCCTTCACTTTTTATTTAGTGGCAATTACATCACTTTATAGTGGGAGTCAATTCTAGTGCTGGTATAAATAAGATATAATTGTAATTAGTTAAATCCCTGTGTTATCTGGGTTCATTTACATGCAGCAAATTTAGTATTATATCTAGTTTTTGACAATATAAGTAGTACTACTCTTTCAGAGAATAACATTTTCTCTAACTATCAAGTATCTAGTTTAAAGTTATTTAATGCACTGATATACCTGCATGGAAATTGTTTCTTTCTTTCTTTCTTTCTTTCTTTCTTTCTTTCTTTCTTTCTTTCTATCTATCTATCTATCTATCTATCTATCTATCTATCTATCTATGATCTACCTATCTTCCTAACATCTACCCGTCTATCATCTCTCTATCTTCTATCTGTCATGCTTTTCCCCCCACTTACTAAAATTTAACACGAGTCTCTTCTTATTTCAACTTCAATCTCTTAATTTCAATTTATTGAATGATTTAGTTTTGAGTGAGTATGAGTACCAATCTGTAACTTAGGGAATAACTGGGCTTGGTTATTCACATGCCTTTATTTTCATTTTCTGTTTTGTTATTCATAAAAATTCATAAAATTCTTATTTTAAGACTTGGAATTTCAAAGTCATGAACAAAAATAATAGGGCTGTCATGATGCTTTATTAGTAAAAGTTCAATGCAAATGTTTAATATTCTTATTTTGGGACAAATAAAATAATTCCAAGTTTTATGTCTTTAAATATTTCTTAAAATTAGCCTACAGGATTACAAATGGAAAATCCTTTGTCTGTCTAAATTTTCCAGTTCTTGTTACCCCTTCAGTGACTTTTGACAGTATTCAGGGACCAGCGATCATCTGTGAGAGACTTCTAACAAGTGGCTGATGTAATTGGATACATGGTTTTGAAAGGTCATTATGCTGAGTGTGAATGTGAAGTGAAGGTAGACAGACAGCGGGACAGTCATTCAGGAGGCTGTTAGAGTGACCACACGAGAAGGCAATGGCATTTAGATGGGCAGGGATGGTCATTCAGGAGGCTGTTGGAGTGACCACACGAGAAGGCAATGGCATTTAGATGGGCAGGGATGGTCATTCAGGAGGCTGTTGGAGTGACCACATGAGAAGGCAATGGCATTTAGATGGGCAGCAAGTGACACAGGCTGATGAAAGCGTCACGGTTTTACCCTGATCAGCTAGAAGGAATTATGCATGGTTTTCTGTGTTGAGAAACAGGAGCTTTATAAGATTTTTGCTGCATCTTGCTCAGATGGGAAACAGTGAAGAGATTTACAGGTCAAAATTTTTAGCTTTTCACGGGGATAGTAAACACAGAAGGGGAACACATTTGTGGAAGAAACTCTAGGTTATTTCCCTCCAAATTACAAGTGACCTATTTGTGGGCTAAATTATATTATAACTTATGACTGTGTATACTTTCCTGAAATCCAAGAAAATAGTAGCCTAGAGATGGTAATTGAGATTGTGAAAGTAAATGACATTGTTTAGGGGGAAATTTATACTCCAAAAGAGAAAAGGTTTAAACGGTATCTTTTAATCGGTAAACAGAAGAGGTCTGCTCTCTTAGTAACAGCCAGCTGAAGCTGCCAAAGACTGTGGCACTGCCTTTATCTGGGGAAAGCAGAGCTCCACGGAAGAGGGGTTTTTACAACTGTGTTGCAAGCTGTGCAGCTCCACATATATTACCTAGGATCAGATGTGCAGAGGCTATAGGATTTAGCAAACTGGAGGACATTATTCCTTCCAGCTAAAGCTGCATTAATAAACTGAAGGTGGCAACCTGGATAAATGTGGGCTTAAGAGCGGGAAGTGAGAAAGTAGGCATAAAAAATAACAGTCTGCTCCTGTGGAGTACATGGTTAGTTGCTTAAGAAATATACAAAACATCCAAGGAGAAATGGGACCATTTTAATTTTGTGATAGTTGAACTCTCTGCACATTTGAATTTCACTTGGATATAGGGTATAACAAATGAAAATAAAGCTAACAGGAAAAACAGAGACCAGATAAGCAGCAGGGGGAAGCAGAGGAGGCAGTGTGGATGGTATCATAGCACTGACAGAGGCATTAGTGTTGGGATTCTGACACCTTTCCTGTGATAGGAAGTCAAAAAAAGGAATGGGCAGGTTTTCAAACAACTGCAGGTTGTTTCCATTCGCAGAATATGTTTTCTCTAGATCTGGAGAGAAATCAATTTGCTGACTCGTGGAGAAGTTGAGGGAGGTTGAAGATAATGGAATTATTTGTGCTTTGCAGAGTGAATGAAGAAGCTAAAGAAGAAAGCAGAAGAAAGTTTGTCAAGTTTCCATTCTTACCAATAATGGATCAAAATTTTTGCGTCTCCAACCCTAGCTAGTACTAGTCTTGTCTCTTTGGAAACAGGTTTGCTGACATCTCATTGTCGTTTTCATGTGCATTGATCTAATGACTAGTGATGTTGACAACTTGGTTGAAAACTGTGGACCTTCTGAAGTCTTTATTTTTTTTTTCTTTTTGAGAAATGTTTATTGAAGTCCTTTGGCCATTTAACTATTGTGTTGCTTAAGTTCCTAACCAAATTGAGGTGGTGATTCCTTATGAGATGTATGGCTTGCAAACACTTCCTCCCAATCTGTGGAGTGTTTCTATTTAGTTGAAGCTTTCCTGCTGTGCAGAAGCTTTTAAGCTCAGTGCAAACCCACTTGCCTCTGTTTTCACTTTTGTGGATTGTGCTTTTTGTGTCATAGTCAAACAATCATTGCTCAAACTAGTGTCAAAAGCATTCCACTTGCTTTCCTTTTGTAGGCTTATGGTGTCAGACCTCACACTTTAATTCATTTTAAGTTGATTCTTGTGTGTGGCTTGAATTAAGACCCTGATTTTATTCTCCTGTAGGGGATTAGGTGATTTCTCTAACACTATTTATTAAAGAAACAAATCATTCTCCCACTGTGAATCTTGGAGGATACAATGAACGTTTCTATAAACAATGAAAACTAGACCTGTCAATCCCACCTCTTACAGTGTATGTCTAAAAACAAAATCAGAATCTTGAAAAGATACTTGGGCTCTCATGTTCATTTTTTCACTAATTATAAGAGTTACCACACAGACTACCTAAGTGTCTGTGGTGGATGGATGGATAAAGGTGAAATACTTAAAGACCTATGGAATATGGCATTTCCATGTCTTAATAACTTAGAATTCTGTTGACTTAAGACATGACTGCTCTTGACAACATTGATCTATTTCCAAGAGGATGATGGGCAGTGAAGACACTTTACATGGAGTTGTTTTCTTCTTGGCAAAACTGGTTTACTGGACAAAGACTGCCCTTGCCTAGACTTCTGACAGTAAGCACGCTGTTCAGTATGGACAAGTAGGTCTTCATTTTGCAGTCATCATCTGTACGAATTCTTCATAGTTGACTTGTCCATCTCCATCGATATCTGCTTCTCTGATTATCGTTGAATGTAAGATTTACAGGTCTATTTTTCCAAAATTTTTCTTAGAACTGCATTCCTGTGCTCTCTTCAGGAATTACAAAATTGATGTTTTTATGTATTTCTAACACAAGAAAAATATCGAGACAGTTTGTTCCCTAAAATTTAAAATGTCATGTATCAGCGTGTGAGAGGACACTGATGGTCAGCACCGCTTGTCAGTCTCACTGGGCTGGAGTGTGGATACTATCATTCTGAGAGCTCTTGGAGGGTGACTTTTTTGATGACAGTAATGTTTGGCTCTTGCCAATGTGAGCCTCATCTAATTAGCTGAAGATGTAAATTGCAGCCAGATACAGTGCAGTGGAGCTGCTTTGTCTGGCTGCTCTTTTTCTTCAGACTAGAACTAGGCTTAATTTTCTTTGGGATCTCAGTCTGGTAGATTTAGGCTAAACTACCCTACTGACTACCCTGGTTCTCCAGCTGGTCAGCTGTAGAACTTATTTCTCAGGTCACACAACCATATGGGACAGTTGCCTTTAATCCGTATCTCTCCCATCTGCATGTCTTGATTGATGCAGGGCAACAGGTAGCTTCATAGTGGTGGAAGCTTACTCATACCTTGCTAGGTCAGGAAGCAAAGAGTTCAAATGGACCATAGTCTTATGGTATCTCCCCCAGTGAAGCACGTCTTCGAGCGGGGCTTCATCTTCTGAAGTTCGTCTAGCTTTCTACTTACTACTCTACCTATCCATTTCTCTGTGTTTCTAATGGCCTCGTTTCACTGGAGAACCTTAACTTACACAGATGTGAAATGAATAGTAAGTATTGAAAATGTCAAATTATGAGCTCAGTTGGGAGAGTGCTCGCCCAGCATTCATGATGTCCTTGGTTTAATATCAGGCACTATATAAATTGGACGTGATGGCACTAGCACTAGAGAGATGGGCTCAGAAGGAGCAGAAATTCAAGGTTCGGCTGGCGAGGTGACTCAGCAGTTAAGAGCAGCATTTGCTCTTGCAGAGGACATGGGTTCACTTTACAGCAGCCACATGACAGCTCACAGCCATCTGTACCTCCATTTCCAGGAGACTCAATGTCTTTTTCTGATCTTTACAGGCACAAGGTGCACATGGAATACATAAATACATACTTGCAGACAAAAACGCTTATGCACATTGAGTAATAAGTCTAAAAATGCTCAAATAGGAGAAACTCAAGGCCATTCTCTGCTAAATAATATGGTAAGACAAACCTGAAATAAATGAGACCCTAGCTCAACAAAAGAGAAAGAATTTAAAAAGGAGAAAAGAAATGAGAAAAAGGAAAACATTACACTGTACTTAATGAATATGTATATTGCTATATATTAAAAAATTTCAAAGAAGGATCAAGGAGAAAGTCTAAGTACCTGATTTGATTTTTTGTATGTTATATATATATATATATATATATATATCATATATATGTAATTAATTATCACATGGCACGCTGTAGAATTAAACTAATAATTAATAAAAATAAAACTGTAGTGCTCATAAAAATCTGTTCTTTTTAGGAACAGAGGGCAGGAAATGACAGGTATCTACGGAAACAGCTGGAACACAATCTATTTTATAGATCCAATTTTTGGCATATGTGTTCAGTGGTCTGCATTAAATTACAGTAGTTGCTTATGTTTTTAAATTGAACTTTCATTTGTTTATTTAAAAAATGCAAAGGTTAGCATAAATATATGTTATGATCATAAGATTTACTATGCCACTGACCTGTTCAATATGTCTCATCTTTTATGATTGCTTCAAATAAATAACTAGATAATTATTTTGATAAAAACTATGTTTTAATTTTTCTAGTCTTTATAGCATTTATTTCCCCTAAGGTCATGGTGTGTATTCAGCATTCATGGTAAGCTGCTTCAGTTACCCATGATATTGGATCAGATATCCATGAGGCTGTAATGTTGTTCTTATGGTGTATATACAGAATGTCCCCCAAAATCATCTTCTAAAAGTTTGGCTCCCAGGCTTTGTACTATGGACTTTTAGGAGATAAGCCCTACTTAGAAAAAGTACATCTTCAGAATCATGCCCTTCAAAGGGCTACTGGAATCTTGACCCATTCTGTTTTGCTTTCTGGGTACCATGAGACGAGCAGCCTCCTCTGTTATGTGCTCCTCTACAATGATGCTCTTCACCATAGGCCAGAATCCAATAGAACTAACTGGTGGTGGACTAAGATCACTGAAAGCATAAGCCAAAAATTTTCTTCTTTAAGTTATTTTCTGCTGCATTTTATAATAACAGTGGAAATCTGAAGTGTCTTTTTTAAAATATTCTTTTTAACCAGTTATGGTTTGATAGCAATTTTAATACTTTGCATTAACAACTTGTAATAGAATTTATCAGACATGAAAGATATTATTCAGTGAGTGGGTAGTTTGACAAATCAGAAGTCTGAAGGTCAGTTTTACTATAAACATCTTCAGAAAGATAATGACTTTGTAAATTGTTCATCTTCTGACCCATCTTCTTGTGGTCTACAGATTTCGTGTTGAGTGGATTCTTTCAAGATGAACTGAGGCATCAATACAGAAAGGAACAGATGACTGATATCACAAACACAGATTTATAGATAATTAAGGTGCTATGTGTTGTTTTTATTTTTAGTTACTTATCTATTTAATTTTTTTTTTGTGCTAGGGTTTCTTTGAGTAGCCCTGGCTGTCTTAGAATTTGCTTTGTAGGTCAGCTGGCCTTGAACTAGCAGAGAACTGGCTGCCTCTGCTGCTTTAGTGCTGGGGTTAAAGGTGTGTGCCACCAATGCCCGGCCTATTGTTTTTATTTTTGTATTTTGTCCCATGAGTTCTTTTATTACCTAATTAAAAGACATGTTTAAGGTGTAGATAAAAGATGTTACAAAAATTTAAGAAACTACTCAAAGAAAATTTCTCTTTACTCTTTCCCTTCATTTCCCTGCAATTTTGTTTTTAAATTTCAGTTCCAATCATAAATACTATGGACTGAAATGTCCTATCTCTCAATTCATGCTGAAGACCTAACCTACAGTGTGGCTGTCATTGCAGGCTGGCTTATAAAGATATGATTAAGGTTAAAGAGTCATGTGAGTAGTGTCCTACTCCATTATGACATGTCTTTTATTAAGGGAAAAGCCACTAGAGGCCTTATGTGATGTAAAGATACAGCTAGAAAGCAGTCATCTGAAAACTAAGCACAGAGGTGTTAAAACTTCATTCTCTGGTACCTTGATCTTGGGTCCCTAGTCCCCAGGACGTGGAGAAATAAACTTCAGTTGACTACAGCACAGAGTGTGATGTTTTGTTATGGGGGTGCAAGGAGACTAATAGACTAGGCAAATATTTTTCAAACTGTCTCTTCAAGTAAAATATGATGTTCCTTGGTAATTTAATATCTCAACAGAAAAAAAAAAACAAGGTAGCAAAGCTGTATCTACTCACAGTGGCGTGGCTGTTTGCGTTGAAACATTATAGGTCTTACCGCCTCTGTTGTTTCTTGGTGCCATTCATTTGACTTTACTCATGATGCTACATCATCCATCATGGCCCCTGTGAAAGCGGCTTCCCAGGATGCTGAAGGTTGTTTCTGTGCTTCCATAATAAGACCCCAAGTGCAAATCTTGCTCACTGTGTGAAGGAAATATGATTCACACCCAATCTATTTTCTGGACATGCTAAATTTATCTTCTCAAACCTTATAGTATACATATAGAGCTACATACCTTCTGTCCATGTCTTATTTGAATTCTTTGGGTGCCAGTCATTGCATTTCCTGACTCTGTGGGTGCCTGGCATGTATGTAGGCATACATACAGACAAAATGTTCACATACACATGATAAAAATAAACAAGGAAAAAGACATCTTTACAAAAGAAATAGTTTTAAAGTATTAAGGAGGGCACAAATCTGTGAAATACAGATATAGTGGCTTCCTTGTGTCTCAGGGTGATAACAGGCCTTTACAAAATGCAAATTATTATCTGTCTTGTAAGTGGTTAAACAGATATCATCTCGTAGTTTCTTTTGGTTGTTAGGATTCAGGCATTATTTTGGCCCTTGTCACTTGACAGGACGCACTGAGGCAGTACCCTGGCAAGCCCAGGGTCCTATGGCTGCTTTATCACTATGTAGTCTGTAGCCAGATGCAGAAGGTCCCTTTAAGAGACAAGCTCTGCCCACTCCTGAGCTCTCTCTTTCCCACTGATGTTTTGAAGAATCAGGCTGGTCCTTGCCTCTTCTTCCTCTTTGTCTATGTATCTCGTTCTCTCTTCTCTCCCCCACTCATTTTATCTCAGTAAAAATTCAGCGTAAGCTCTGCTTGCACGGCCTGTCTGTCCTTCACCCTCCATGCGCTCTCACCTGCCACATGGCCCCTCGGCCTGCCAAGGTCCCTCTCTCATTGTCACTTAGTTTTCAAGGATGTTTCATTGGTGTTTCCTTTTCCAATGTAAGCAGGTTTTGAACTTGGGTTTATAGAACATGAAAACTCTTCCCCACTATGCCAGAATTGAACAATTATATGATGCAGTCATAATATTTTCTCCTACAAACCCACCATCCTTCTGTGTCATCTTTCTTTATGAAGTAGAAAATGCCAGTATTAACATTTATTTAGTCTGGTAATATGTTCATAGAAACATAAGGGTCCTAAATTTCTTGTCACTGTTCAGCTATATGGAGAGTTTCAGTTCTGGTGAGAATGGTTCAACTCCATCACCTAAAGTGTAGTGATGGTTAATACTACCTCAACTTGAACAGGCCATGAAGTACCTGACCATTTAGTCAAATATGATTCTGGTTACATCTCTGAATGTGTCCATGGAAATAATTACTTTTCAGATCAATTTATTGAGTAAAGTAATTACAAGTGGGCAGGCCTCACCCAACCAGTCCAAAACCTGAAGGAGGACAAAGCTTTACTCCTAAATAAGAAAAACATCTCCTGCCTGGGTGTTTGAGCTCAGGTATCGCTTTTTCTTCATCTC